CCGAAGTGCATGCAACTTCTATTTATGTGCAGACAATGACACACTACGAGATTGTGCGCGCGCCCAACATTTCACCGGCACCCGTTGGCCTTACCCATAAGTGGCATTTTTCCGTTGACAAACCTAATTGTTTGGTAGGGTATTGGGAAACATTAAAAACTTGTTTAGGTGAACACCAGTCATAATGTACATCCAATAGTGGGATTGGTGTGTGTGGTTGTCCCTCTAAAACCACCATTTGGGGGCTATCTATTTAGAAGTTGATCGATTTCAGTTTGTTATCAATCAATTTTTTGCACCATACAAACAACGACACATGCCACTATCAAGTTGATTGATTTTAAGTTCGGTATCAATCAAAATTTTGCACCATACATACAATGACACATAACATTATAATTAAAAACCCACTTTACATGATTTTGAAACCTCAATTGCAGCCTTTCTTGGTATGATTCGCCCACTTCAAAACTTGTAAAAACAAATGTAATAGGCTTGCTTGCACTAGATAAAGATTTTACACAAAAACACATAAAATTTTACACCAGGAACTTACTATTGTATGCATGGGAAAATTACAGCAAGAACTGTATGCCATTTTACAACTATAAAGATATTGCATCATAGTTGCATAGCATTTCACATACATTTGCAAAGTTATTTTAATGATGCATATTTATTTATATAAAAAAAAGCAAATCAAGCAATTAAGCCACAATCTAAAATGCTTCATGAAGTCAAAATAAAATAGAATACAATATGTGCACGCCACTATTGCCAACAACGAAGGGAGATCATTCTCGTAAGTCACTGAACCAAGAAATGCAGTCCAGAAAAAAGGTGCATGCATACCCACCGGTACTAATTATGACTCGTAACTAACAACAATTGATACAATCAATTTCCAAATCAAACACATGCCGGAAACGATCAAGTCGGCGCGCACGCGTGTAGTTACCATCATCCTAAAAAAAATATGCCCCGCCTTTTTCTTTTCTTTGGAGGGTGTTACTTCCGCCTTTCTCGACTAATCTTCAATGAGGAAGCGAGACATCGCTGTTAAATATTGCTTGACTGTCTATTCAAGCTTCACCTTTATGATAATAATAATTATTTAAGCTTAAAAAAGAAGCAAGATTTACTATCCGTTAGCGCACCACAACAAGGGTTTGCAAGTTAACGGAATGACAACATATGCAGAAGCTGGCAGTGGGAGCGTTATAAAAGCTTTCGGTTCAAAACCTCAATTGCCGCCATGCAGGACAAGATTTTGGTGTAGCCCAGCTAATCAAATGGGCCAAAAAGGTATCCCAAGGTGCAGGTAACGCAACACATCGGAAGTGTATGAAACTGCTATTTACATGCCCATCCTTTCACTTTCACGTGCTCACAGTGGCCTTAGCTATAAATGACGATCTCCCATCGCCAAGCATAATCGTCTGGTAGGGTATTGGCAAACGTTGAAACTAGTTTAGGTGAGTACTAGTTACATCCAATGGTGGGTTGGGGTGTCCCTCTAAAACCACCATTTGGGGGTTATCTATTTAGAAGTTGACTAATTTTCAGTTTGTTGTCAATCATTTTATTTTTTTGCACCATACAAACAACTACACATGCCACTTGTAAGTTGATTGATTTTCAATTCGGCATCAATCAAAATTTTGCACCATACATACAACGACAGATGACGTTATTATAACTAAAAGACCCACTTTACGTGATTTCAAAACCTCAATTACAGCCTTGCTTGGTATGATTTACCTGTTTTAGAACTGGTAAAAACAATATAATGTACTACTTCTGCTAGATAAAGATTTTACAGAATAACACATAAGAAATTACACCAGGAACTTACTATTGTCTGTATATATGGGAAAATTATAGTAGGAACCGCAGTAGCATTTTACGACCATAAAGATTTTAGGTGTGGCTAGGTCTCAGTCGGCTGAGATTTAACAAAGTCTCAATCATGTGACATATCATGAAAAAATAAAAAGTAAAATCTGAAAAGAAAATTTTGCACGGATCTCGAAGTATGATCTAACGAATATAGCGCCGACTGAGACATAACAAAGTCTAAGTCGACTGAGACTTAGCAAGATCGAAAGATTTTGTATCATAGTTGCATAGCATTTCACATGCAATTGCCTAGTTCTTTTAATGACGTGTATTTCTTTATATAAATGAGCAAGTTGAGCAATTAAGCCACCATCCAAAATGCGTTCATGAAGTCAAAAATAAATAAAATAAGTACGTGCATGCCACTAATGACAACAACAAAGGGAGATCATTCCCGTACGTCGAAAAGCTGTCCAGAAAAAGATGCATGCGTACCCACTAGTACTAATTAATACTTTTTAAAAAAAAGTACTAATTAATACTCGTAACTGTAACAACGATTGATACAATTAATATCCAAATCAAACACACGAGGAAAACGGTCAAGTCCGCATGCACGCATGTAACTATTTTTACCCTTTTTTCTAAATTTTCTTTGGACCTGATAAGTGTAATATGTGTGACACAAACATATGGCAACTTCAAATGTTTTTTATGACAAGTTAGTGACGTGAGGATAGCAAATTTGTTTTTTTTTAGAAATGAGGATAGCAAATTTAGTTGTCAAGCATGACAACTTTTTTTCAGATGGCAGTTTCAGTTTCTTTTTGATTTTTTTTTTCGATGGCAACTTTAGTTGTAATAAAAAAAGTCAGGGTCGGAGTACTTCGTGCCTCACATGTGACATTTATCGGTTTGGATTTTTTTTTACAGTTTTGCTAAAGCACATCTAGATGTGCCATAAGTATTGTAAATCTAAGTCATATGTCATTGATCTTACATTAAGATTCGTGTGAATATTTTTTTTTCTCTTTATGCTTGATTCACTTATTTAGATGTGCAATAACTAGAGCACATCTAGATGTACCTTAGACACACTCTTTGTTTTACTTCCCCCTTTCTTTTTGTTTGCAAGGGTGTTACTTCCGCCTTACTTCCGGTATACAATGCAAATCCATGCATCTATCCGCATGTCCGGATGAATCTTCAATGAGGAAAGCGCGAGACATCACTGTCATATATCGCCGGCTGGCTACACAATCTTCACCTTCATGATAACATGAATTATTTAATAAGCTTCAAAAAGGTAGCAAGATTACTAGCGGTTGGCGAGCCACAAGATTTACAAGAGTTTTGCAGTGAACCAAACGACAACATATGCAAAAACTGCCAGCGGAGAGAGTTATAACACCTTTCATTTCAAAATAGTAATTACTCGGTGCTAAGAACTAGACATATTGGGTGCTGTTTTTATTCTTCTTAAAATCAGCTAAGAATTGAGTCGAGACTATGGCTACTCAATTGCTGGCTAGAGAGTAGGCTAGCTAGGTGGCGCTTGTCTGATAGACTACCCTGGTCAGGTGCACCGCACGTACACAAAATTAAGAGTTAGTGGGATTCGATCGACCGGCCGGCCGGTGCAATGGACTTGACCGCCAACGCTAATTTGGACCCGAAAAGCTCTTCAGCTGGATTTTGGGTGTACTCCACTGTTGCGGATTTGAGCGCCGTTGTCTCGTTGTCATCACATGTACGTAGTATTATTTTCTTCAATTTCGCGTATCTGAGCCCGATGTTTATACGTACGTAGTATTATTTTCTCGCCAGAGCACCGATGTCTCGTTGTCATTACAACAGTGGAGTACTACACCCAAAATCCAGCTGACGAAGATCGTGATGTACCGGCCGATCGATCGGACGGCGAGGAACGTACATAGATGGATACATATACTTATCCTGTACGATCGTGGATGGCCGTGGCTATGCAATGGCGGCGCTGCGCGCCGGCCTGTGGCAACCGCCGGCGTACTGCAGCCAATTAAACGACGCACGCCGGCCGGGGCCATCCATCGGCGGCCACAACGGTCCAGATGAATGATCCAAAGGCCACATTTAAGTCTCCTCTTGACTAGCCAGGCCGGCCGTTGCTTCTCCGGACTGCCCGGCCGCCCGCCCGCCCGGCCGGTCCACGTCGGGGATAATCCGAAAGCGCACGCGCACGTACGCCCCCATCACGGGCGCCACAGCGATCAAATCGCCATGTGACTAGCTGACGCGACGCGACACCATCGGAACCTTCACCGTACGTACCCGCCGCGTGAAGCATCCATGAAGCTCGCCGGCCGTTCGTGGCTAGTATAAATCGCGGGCCATGCCGCGGGGAATTCCGTCAAAGCAGTTAGCTCAGGCCCACCGCCGCCCACCACTAACGTAGCACGCTAGTACGTAGCTCGTCTGTGCACTGCACTCATGGCAGCTTCGCTGGGACTTACCGGCCATGAGACCAGCTACCCGGCCCACCCGGCGGCCTCCTCCTTGTACAACTTCCAAGCCGGTGATCCCTTCGCGGCAGCGGCGGGCGGTGCCGCGGAGCTGAGCTTCCCGGAGCTCGTGGACGCCGCTCGGCCCTCCGACTACTCGCTGCTTCCGGCGTTCGGCGCCGCTGGAGGCGAGGCGATGAACATGTACGAGCGGAGTGTTGTCTTCCCCATGACGACCTCCTACTACTGCGACGGCGCCGGGATGTTCGACGGCGACGCTTCGGCGAGGGCGAGAGGAGGAGGGATCGGTGCTATGGCGGGGCGGCCGTCGGGGAGGATCGGGTTCCGGACTCGGTCGGAGGTGGAGGTGCTAGACGACGGGTTCCGGTGGAGGAAGTACGGCAAGAAGGCGGTGAAGAGCAGCCCCAACCTGCGCAACTACTACCGGTGCTCCGCCGAGGGGTGCGGGGTGAAGAAGCGGGTCGAGCGCGACCGCGACGACCCGCACTATGTCCTCACCACCTACGACGGCGTCCACAACCACGTCACCCCCGGCAGCACGCCGAGGGCGTCCCCGGCGTACTCGGCGCCGGCGGCACCCGCTTGGACCTGGAGCGAGCTGCATGCGGCGGCGGCGGCGGGGGCTCACTCCTCGGAGTCCTACTGAACTGAGCTACTGATCGATCAGTACGAGTACGTAGCTGTGGTTAGTTTTATGATCGATTACGGTTCAGAAATCTCACGGATGCATGTATACGATTTGTTGCCTTGATGGTGGTGTGCCTGCCGTCACCGAATAATTCGGTCGCTTCCACGGCCATTGTGCACGGTGGAAACGCCGATCGACGGCATGCAGTATCTATCTGTAAAAAGAAAATAAATTGGTGCACGAACAGGTTAACAAACGCACATACGTATGGCAATCATTCATTGGCAAGTTGGTAGGCTCCACATACCACAATACTAATCCGTCCATCCTTTCAGATCCTCTTAAAATAATGTAGTTCTACGAGGTTTTGTACCGTAAATGAGTTGAGTTCGAGCGAGCTGAACTAGCTATGCTCGGCACTAATATTCGAGCGACTTCAAACAAATCGAAGCTCAAGGTCAAGCTATAAAAGTGGCCCAGCTTGTAATGATCCCAAGTTGATTTTAAACTAGTTTCGGCTAAATAACTTTTTTTTACTAATTTTAGATAATTTTTCGAACTAGATAGGACACAACACAACATAGGAAACCAATATAAAATATTATTCCAATCAAAATGATGATAATATAATTTTTTTCAAGGTAGTTTGTTTTATTCTCTCTCAATTGAAGACTGGTACTACTTAATAGCAAAAGATCGTGGATGAGCTAACAAGAGAGAAAACAAAGGTGCATCTGCTCTCAAACCTTGGCAACAAATAACAGGATAGCTAACACATTGGCCATGTATCATCTTGTTGTGGCCTAAATTTTCTCCAGCTTAATTAAGATTCAATGTTTGCTAGTAGATAAAATGAAGAAAATCATACACAAACACAACATATATGATACACCCTCCGTCCCATATTAGTTGTAGATGAAATGGATATATGCATCTAGATGCATTTCAGTGCTAGATACATCAGTTTAAACGACAACTGATATGGAATGGAACGAGTAATGAATTATCTTATTTCCATATAATATATACATCAACCAAAAATTGAGCGAATCAATGTTGGCTCAATATGAGCTCATTTTTCAATCAAGCTACATAAAATACTCATGCTTAGCTTATTTCTTTTTAAGTCGGTCTTGAGTCGAGCCGAAAGACATATCAATATCAAGTGGCTCACAGTCTCGATGTTTTCTTAGAAGCCTAGTGGACGGCGAACCGCATATATTATGCCATAGCAAGAACATAGTCTAGAAACAGCCCAAATTTCTTTTCTGATACAAATTTTTTGACTAGTCTTTTGTTTCTTGACCAGAAATTTGACTAACTTTGGGGGCACGAAACTCTGAAAAGATGACCAATTACTACTGGAATTCAAAGAGGGTCCTTAGCTAGCTTCGACCTAGGAATTAGCCGTTCTGTTCCTCCAAACAGATTTTCTACTATCTGTTTAGACTAGAAAGTGAGTAATTTTGGAGGCACAAAACTGTGAACTTCTTTTTGTGGGGTAAAAAAAACTGTGAACTGATGTTTGACAATTACTATACACGTGTGTGCATGTTTTTCAGATGCACGTGTTTGCCCTCGCAGTCCAGGGATTAGGCCATACTTACTGTTTTTATAGAAATCATAATGATTGGATCAGGAGTGCCGGAGTGCGATGAGAAATTTTTTTCCCGCTGCAACACATGGGCCATTTTTCTAGTCAAGATTAAAGGCTGGTCTATATTGAGCCTAGATTTTTTTAGCCACATATTGACCCTAGATATGGGAGTCCCTAATCAGCGCCTTAAGCGCCCTACTAGCCAACTGACCCACAAGTGCTGCTCCCGTGGGCCGGCCCAAGAACTAGCTCGTTTTCCCTGGCTCGCTCGGTTGACTTGCTTGATCTGTTCCCTGCTGTTCATCCATTGACTAGCTAAACAGTTGACTTTTCCAAAAAAAATCATGAAATTAAAAAAAACATGAATTTTAAAAAGTTCATAAATTCAAGAAGTTTGTGAATCTGAAAAAGTTCATCAGTTTTAAAAAGTACGTGAATTTGAAAAGGTTCACAAAATTTGAAAATAAGTACATAAATTTCATAGAAGTTCTGAAATTGAAAAGGTTCGTGAAAATTTTAAAAAGTTCATCAATTTTTCAAAAAAATCATCAAATTTTTAAATCAGTTTCACAATTTTTCAAAAAAAGTTCATAAATTTTCAAAAAAAAATCACTGATTTTTAGAAAAAGTTCACAAGTTTGAAAAAAGTTCATCGATTTTGAAAGAAAGGTTCATGATTTTTTTTAAAAAGTTCAACCGTTTTGACAAAAAAAAATCAGTAATTATGTAAAATTCAGAATTTGGAAAAAAATGTAAAATTGAAAAGAGTTTGTGGATATGAAAATAGTATGAATTGAAAAAAGTATCACGCATTTTTAAAAAGAAATAAAAATAAAAAAGAAAGGAAAAACCATATAAGAACCAACCAGCGAATTGGGAAACCCGGTTTGGGATACGAAGAGAAGAAAGGAGAAAAGAGTTGTAATTATTCACAAGAAGGTTTTTTCAGACATAATTATTCACAAGAAGTGAGCTGGACTGGTTGGTTATCGCAGCTTCTATCGCACGAGCAGGTCGCTAGTTCGAATCACTTCTGGCTCACGGTTAACATGAAAAAGAAGGGGGGAATGGGCCAACCCAAGAACCTGATCACCTCGGCCCATTAACTGGCCAAGATATATATGGCCTATTAGTTTATTTTTAGGATTACCTTTGGCCTATTAGTGATCCAGAAGCCCTTTTGTTATGCAGGTTTTTTAGGACAGATAGCGGTCTAAGTTAGTCTAGGGCCACTAGCGGGCCAGGTTTGTACGTGCCTTTTAGCGGTCCAAGTACCACTAATAAATGGTCCAAGTTTGCCTCCATACACATTAGCAACCTATCATACCAATGGAGATGATGCAATGAATTATCTTAAAGATTGCAATTAATTAGTTTTCCGTAATCTGGAAAACAAATAATTTGTGTTATAGCTATGCATTGCTTACATATATACATCTCATAGTTCATACACACACATCACAGAACATGTATACTAACAGAATCACCATTTAAATTCAGGTTTTTTAAATGGATTGCCCTTGGATTTAGATAGCAGAAGCCACAACGTTTGTTTCGTCTCCGCGTGCTTTTTTTGTCTTTGTGTGCTTCTTTCTGACTTATTTCATCTCTTGTTTGACTTTGGTGAGGAGTGCATTTGATTACTCTATTTTTTTCCTCGAGATGTCGACTACATCTCACAATGCACTTAATGCTCTTCTTTCTGCCAATAGTAGACCCTCAAGAACTTAACACATGGTTACTTCAACTGCCCTTATTGTACTTCGACATCATGTGGGAATGTGGACGTGGCACTACTCGCACAAATTGATCTTTGGGTTGACCATTGTGCCCTAGTTTGAACTACATCATGAAAAATTTCAGGTAGTGGACATGAGTAGGGAAAATGAAAGTTACAGCAATGACCCAGATAATGATTGGATTGTTTTTACATGGTAAATTATCCATGAATTATTTTGCATATTGAAACTATACTCGAAAAACATGAAAATCTATATTTTATGACTTGAACTTGCAGTAACTGAAGACTAATTAAAAATCTATTGAAGATGATAGTCAGTGTACCACGAGTATATACAAATATCTCTTTTTCATCATTGTAAGGAGCATGCTATGACAAAAAGGACAACCACTTTGTAGGCAACTTCGCAGCACCAATTATTATATTTTGAGAATTAAACATTTGATATCTCTTGAAAGGAGCACTTTAACATTGTGTGCCTCATACAAACTAACAAGACTGTCCTACAACAGAATTGTAACACTCTTAAGGAGTCTAATGAAGTGTACATGCATTTCTTTATGATGTCCATGAGTTCTGGAACTCCATTACAACAGGTGGAAAATTATATCCTAACTCACACTTTACTTCCCCATTTGGTATTCAACCCCACCTAGAATGACTGGGGGGTGGGGCCACCGCCCATTGAGGCAACCTGGGGTAAATCATCAAAGCCCTAGTATAGTGTGGAAAATAATCTAATTCCCCAGCAACAAGTAGCACTTTATTAATTGGCCAACTCAGTTCGAGACTGAAAACAAGCAATTGAAGCAAATAGTTCAGCTATGGCTCAGAAAAACAAGCAATTGAACTCGTGTACGCGAAAAATCTTTCGCACCTGGATTACACATCGAGAAAACAAGCATACATGGATGCCTCAAGCACACCATTGGCCTAATGATATTTAACCATGTGGTATCTCTGCCTTTTAATGAAATGACCAATTAAACATCGCGTACCACATATAATAAACTAGTTGGCCGTTTTCTAATGATCCTAAAAATGAAAATGATAGGGAGTCTATGAAGTGCAAAATCATTCATTAGTGCCACATATAACTCTTGGATCCACAATACAACACGCGTGATTGTTGGCCCGTTGGCCAACTTAGTTAGATCTTGACAAACAAGCATTTGAACCAAACAATTTAGTCAAACAAGCAAGTGAATTGTGTGCAATTGTCTACACTGCAGTACTTGCCGAGAACCGTCGACAAGCATGCCGCCATACACACCACATGTCATAGTAATTTAAATGAAGTGAATTACTGTAGCCCGATGTATAGACTCATTGTAGCTCTTTTTGTTGCAACATTCTTTGAAGATGTCCCTGATATCCCATACAAGTAAATATAGTCCTTGTAGTTCATTGTTCCAACTATACATTTGTCACGGTTAATTTTAATCTCATATAATGGCTCGAATGAATTACTGATAGATTGTATACAACAGTACAAGAAGGGTGCATGTTTAATGGGCGTGCTTCACTCTCGGATTTTGCTACTTCCAGGTGGCAACTCCAAGAGAAAAATTAGTTTGCTAGTTCTAGTTGCCAGCTCTATAATAAGTAATAACAACCAATTAATCTGGCAACTTAGGAAGATCTAGAACGCACATAAAGTTATATTCAGAGCAGTGTGAC